AGAGACAGAAAACATTAAAGAGGGACGATGAAAAAGAGAGACAGAAGATGATTCTGTGATTGACCCTGCACGCTTTCTACAGAATCTACCGCCCCTCTTAGTCATGAGGGGCTAAACTGTAAATCTCCTTTATTTTGAAATCCTGACATTTTAAAAGAGAAAAACTATAAATTTTGATTCCAGCTTAAATTGGTTACAAAGTCTGAGGGGAAAGCCTGATCATGTGACTGCAAACTGTCCTCTTAGCAGCCAGAGCTGTTCCCAGAAATGTACACAGCTGCTAATAATCAGCTGCAAATGTCATTATCATTTTTCTTCAGAATATTTAAACCAGGGGATCCACCTAGATTCTGAGAAAGGGTGAGGGCCTGGGATATTACATGTGGTGATTTTTCTACTGAATTCTATTTAATTGGAGCAGCTTGGTGTGCAGACCCAGCATTTTTCTATTTTCCTCCTAGATTCTGTCTTTGTGTTGTTCAGGTTGGAAAAAGCTGATTTCTACATTAAACTGAGACATTTTTCAGCTTATGTGGATCTTTTTTACGTCTTTCCCATTTGCTGATATTGTCCACTACATGTGTGGGACAGGTAGTGTTTCCAGACAAAAAATCTCGCTTATTTTTATTCAGTCAAATGTATCACTGAACATAAGTATTCACTGTGGAAAATGGAAAATGTGAGATCGAGGAGCTAGTCTTCAGGGTGCAGTGAATTGTCTTGTCCAGAGGCCCGGTGGCCTAGCGGTAAGGTCGTGCCCCATGTGCAGAGGCCATAGTCCTCCAGGCTGGCAGCCCGGGTTAAATCCAACCCGTGGCTCCTTCCTGCATGTCATTCAGCACGCTCTGTCCCCGATGTCCTACTCTCTCTCTCCACTGTCCTCTCAAATAGAGGCACCAAAGCCCATAAATAAATCTCTAAATAAATATCTTGTTGGAGATTCACCCTGATGGAAGCAGTTCCTAGAAAACAAATTTACAATACAGAAGTAACTTATCGGATTACCAATGGTCTAGTTTGCTTTTGTAGCTAAAAATCTAGTCCTTGGAAACAGTCTCTATTGTCTGTGCTAATTCAGCTCTATACTGTATTTGGCCATGTTTGCTGTGTTTCCTGTGTAGAGTGATTTTCTGGTTATTTGTAAAATTCTATATGTTGTCAAATTGGTGAAGTTGTTCTCTTAAAGCTCCTGTGAGGACATTGTGGTTTGTGTTGAATTATGGAGCTCCCTGTGGACATCTCATATCTCGTCTCTTGCTGATCTCGTCCTGTACACGGGTAAGTATTGTACAACAAAAAAATGGTATCCTGCTTTCCTTTCAAATTCAAACTTACAGCTCGTTGTGAATCTTTGGAGCAGGGCTGTAAATCACCAGTTTCAACACGATGCGATATTTCATCAATTCATTTCCTCCTTACTTAAGAGTTGGAAAAAAAACTACACAAAGGCGGTTTTCTGCAATGTACTTTGTCCGACAGCTACCACACAGCAGTGAATTCAGTGATTAAAATAGCTATTAAGAAACACACAATCGTTAGTGTGATGGTCTTGTTTGCTTTTAAAGCTCAATTAAAGGCATTCATATGTGTTTCAGTCTGTTTCATTGCCAGCTAAAACATCTCACAGGTGATAACGTTTTGTCTGTACCTTTTTTTTTTACCTTAAATTGTCGTGCATTGAAACACATTTTAAATCTGTTCATCCTTCATTTTTTTTTACACTTTCATATTTGAATTACAATCACATTTTATGCACATAGAGAGGTGCACACAAACACCCGTGATGTGACAGATTTTGGGCTCTCCTGTATTCTGTTTAGCTAAACATCTGAGCTTTAACTGAAACCAAAAGCCGGCCTCGAATCTCAAATGCAAGAGATGGAATTTCAGTGCTCAACACTTGGTATGTATGTGCATATATTTGTGTGTGTGTCTAACTGTGTGTGTTTGTGTGTGATAGAGACACCTAGAGTGAGAGAATGACCAACATCTATTTTTAGCCCTGTACCCAGTGAGTCATGTGATTCCCCCCTTCTTCCCACTGATCCCTCCTTCCTCTCCTTCCTCTCCTTCTCCCTTCTACTCCTCTGTCTCTCCCTCTCTCACACAGTCACATCCCCTCTCTCTCTCCCGCTTTGTTCAAAGATTGGCAAAATACAAACGAAGTCAAATCGAAGGAACTAGGAATGAAGGTGTTAAGAGAGAGTAGGGAAAGCAGGTGGGAGGACAAATCTTTATCTTGACTAATGAGGGACACGCACACGAGGGAGATGTGAAGAATCTGTTCTATATAAATATATATAAACGCTGAGGCAGACTGGCGTACTCCTAAGCAACAGCTATCATCTCTGTTACCATGACACCTCCACATTCAAAAAAAAAAAAATCGGCAACTGCACCTAACACCAAAGACAGTGTCCACTATGAAGGTCAGTCAGTTTCAGACTGTGTGATTGGAGCAACGTCAAACCAGCAAAAATGATCTGGTTCATTTACATTCAAACATAAAGCAAAACAATGAATTTGGAAATGAAGTAGAAAGAAGATGAAAGTTTTCAATGTTGCAATGTAACATGTCCATGTAGGCTTATTTTTTTTCCCCCCATCATTGTGTCACTCCCACTATGCAAAACAATTAAAGAACATTATTGTCAAAGATGCAAAACTGCAGACAAGCAATAAAAAGGTCACATATCAGGCACAAGGAAAGTGCATGCATTCACAAACAAGGACAATAATGTGCACAGACACACAAGAGTAGATGTGGGATTACACTCACACACAAACACACATAAGCATGATGTACAAATTTGCACACTGCACACACACATACACAGAACATCACAGGCAAATACAAAGTGACAAAAGCCAGCAGACAGAGTCACAGTGACAGGACACTGACGCATGCATGAAGGGAGAGGACAAATATTCAACTGCTGTGAGGGATGCAACATGCACACACAAACACACACAACACACACACACACACACACACACACACACACTTATATGTTGACTTCTCTTTCTCTCCCTGATTGTGTCTCTTTCTATTGCGGCTTCCTCTCATTCACTGACTCATCTGCCGCTCTTAATGAAATGCTGTATAATCGGGATTGCAGATTGCAGGACTGTGACCGGGTGACTGGTCCTATAGGCCGATCACACATGTGTGCATGAATAACCAGAATCACCAGGCGCACACACGCACATACATACACACACACACTCAGTGCTTTGATCTGCCTGCTTTCCAACCACCAATCCTGCCCTAAACCCTTTACAATTATATGTACTCACGCGCATGCACTCGCATAGGCAAACAAGACACGCACAGTGGTGGAGTGGGGTTGGGTTGGCGGGGGCGGGGGGGGGATGGGGGGGGTCATGATCCTGCCAGAGAGAAGGGAATCAGAGTTGCAATTCTAGGGCTTATCGCAGAAAGACGGTAAGACCATATCTGACACGCCAGCATGTCCAGTATGTAAACCTCTAAACACACAGACACACAGGAAGGAAAAGAAAGGAAAGAGATAAAGAGAGAGAGCGTGTGCACGGGACGAGCCGCATGCACGAGTGGTGAGATAACCTTTTGCAGTATTTTTGGAAAAATCTGTCCCAGCATGCAAATGGTGGTACACTGATCTGTCAGCCGAGGTTCTTTTTATTACTAACACTGAACACTACAAGTGATGAGACGACACCAGTTGAAGAAAAAAAAATGAATGAGTGACGAAGGAATGAAGGCAGGGAGTTAGGCTGGAAGAAACTGTGCAGGAAGGAGGGGGCGGTGTCGATGTAACTGGTGAGAAATTTGACATAGTTTTGTATTCGAGAAAAAAAAAAAGAAAGGTCAGATTAAACAAAAGGAGGGAGGAGGATAAGCAAAATAGGAAAATAGACATGAAAGAGAGGAGTGAACAAGGAGTGGAAGGATGATGCGGAGGAGGGAGGATGGCAGCTGCAGGAAAGGGATGAAGGGTAAAATGCTGCAAAAAGGGGGAGGGGCAAATTAAAAACATGCATTTGCATCATCACGTTGAAACTACAGGCTGTAGATTAAAGGATGCAGAACAGGCAATGCAATTTCCACTATATTATTACAAATCAAATCTGATCTCGATTGCTCCCCTCATGTCCACAGAAGCCACACAGAGTCCTCGTGTGGCAGGACGGCCGCCATTGGCTGTCTTCGAAAGCAAAGCCGTGTCAAAACGCGTCATTGGCCGAAGAGAAGTAGTAACAGTGCAGGCACAACACACCATTGGTTAATATCCACGAATATGCTGTTGGCGGTTCCTGGGTCATGCGTGTGCTTGCACATACACATATGTGTGTTGGAGCTTGAGCTAGTGTATGTGCGTGTGTGATTATGTGTGGGTGTGTGTGTGCGTCGCGAGCCTAAGGCAACCAGGCCAGTGGCTACAATTACAGTGACGGATGTGAAAGAACTGGGTCGGCTTTGCAAGAGATCTGCCCCTGGGACGAAAAGACCAGCCAGAGCCCTGAATCAATACAGAACACACACACACACACACACACACACACACACACACACACACACACACTCAAGGTTGTGTGTGACAAGCGTTTAGGTATAAATTAATTGACAGATATTAATAACGCATGAAAGGAGAACATCTACAGTGCAACAAAGCACATAAAGTGCAAGTGCAACCTGTTTGAGATATCTGCTGTTTATATCCACACACACGCAGAAATCTTAATCAACCAAAATCCAGATGAGTCTCAGCCCCCCCCCGTGCCTGCTCACTCGCTGACTTTTATGCACACACACACACACACACACACACACACACACACACACACACTTGTTCTGTCCAAAAGCCCCAGCGCTTGTGTCAAGGGCAGCAATGTTCACAGCTCATCCACATGTAACCCGGTGACACTTGAGGCACGTTTTCTGCTCATGTGCAGTGTGTGTGTTTTCTGAACATGTTCATGTGTGTGTGTGTGTGTGTGTGTGTGTGTGTGTGTCCTACCTCTGGCAGAAAGCTTCTTGGTGTTGATGATTTTGGCAGCATACTCCTGTCCAGAGGAGATCTTCACGCACCTCCTGACCACAGAGAATGCACCCCTGGAATAATCATAAAAACAGAAAGACTTTTAGTGATGAAATTTAATTTAAAAAAAAAAAAAAGGCTCAGAGTAAAAGTACAAGATGCAAAACAACTGGTCAATAAAGGCACAGGAAATGCCCCCCTTATAGTGAGAAAAACCTGGCGCCAGTGAGCCTGAGACAGAACGCCACAGGATACTAAAGCTTGAAAAAGATCTGAGGTTTTAATCTCATCAAAACTATGTAAGGACCGAGTGTGACAAGTTCTCAGAATTCTGTTATTAACCACAAATAAGCCTGAGGTGAAGCTGAGCATTAAAACTAGCTTGACTGGAATCGACCATGGCCGTGCAATTGTTTCAACACGGGTAGGGGGGGGATCAGCAAAATACTGTTAAATACAAGGATATGGTAGTATTATTCACAAAAATTGACTTGCTTGCTTTGTCTTCTTTTCAAACTGTAGCATAAACAACAAAACTAAAAACTGGTCATAGCAACATCTGCTCTAGATCATCAAAGAAGAGCACATTGCTGGTGGATAAGAGTACCTTTGGTCTTGGCTAAAAAATGTTAGCAATAAATGATCTCCAGTCACACATAGCAAGGCTTCGATTGATAAAATAAATAATGGTTTCTCCCAAAATCCTAAGCAGAGAGGGGATAACAGGAGATGCTGCAAGCTGAGCTGATGCTAATTCTAACGTTAGCTCAGCATGTTTTTAGGTTCTTAGCTTGTTTTTTGGTGAAGGGTTACTTTAGTGTAGTGAGCAGGCAAAAACATGGAAAGCGATTATATCACATTCATATAGGGTTAGAAGGATGACATATACCTGTTAAATAATACTGATAATATATTATTTAAATTGCACAGATACTGTATCTGCAAGTGCTCAAGTCAAGATATTTGGAATCTGTATCATGTATGAAAAATAGCATGAGATCATCTGTAAATGACATCCATGGCACAACATCATCTTTGCATCATGAAACAGCCCTCTAACGGCAGTACCTGCATGCACTGCTGAGCTACAACGTTAGTCTGTACATTCACATTTCACCATTTCATTGAAAACAAACAAACACGGTCGCAGTACCTGTGCAGCCACTCGCACACACAAAAAAAGAAAACGCTCACTCCCCACACCCACAGTACACACTGTTCTTATCACTACACGAGACCGTGAACACCAAACAACGTGCCTGCCAGCCTTCTATTGTTGAAGGCCATGTGTGTGTTCTGGTGTTTCAGGCACATGTATGAAGATGAGAAAACTAGGTCAGCTATATTTGAGAGGAAAAGAAGAGCAGAGTGCTGCATCTCTCATCTCTAAATGCAGCCACAGAGCGGTCGGCCTCAGCTCCTGCTCTGCTCTGCTCTGCAGCCACGCGGGCCGCTTTGCTATTCCAGCTCCATCTCCGTCTGTGCACGCCTTCTCTTTCCAAATCAAATCTGTCCTCATCGTGTCTCGCTCCTGACAACATCAGGAGTCATCACAGACACTTAGTAGCACTCAGATTCAGACAAAGGCAGAAGGACGCTCATTACCTCAAATGAACCCCGTTCTTCCACCTGGCTCTACCTCTAATGGCTGACAACTGAGGCGTGATGCTACTGTGAAATATTTTATTATTTGGTTGAATCGGCGTTGCAGCATGAGGAATAACTGAAGCGTTGTGTCTATGTAATCACTAGCTGCTGCTGAGCATACAGTGATGTCTAAGTGTTATCTAACATCCTCTGGAGTGAGCAGCTTGCAACTAAAGCTTACCTCTAATTTATAGGGGATTTGGGAAATGAAACGATCATAGCATAACATGTTATATAAGAATTTTACTCTACTATGCCCTGTAGTTTTGTCAGCGTGCTGATGTTAAGGGGCAAAAAGGAAAATTATAGAAGCTGCACAGCAAACTAACTTTTTGCTTTGAAATATGGACGTACAAGCGATGTAGCTAAAATAAGCTTTAGGGTTTTTACTTTTACTTTCATGGCAAGGTCTCTGTTTGTACAAGATCTCTGAAAAATATGCAAACTGAACTGTTACAAATCTTGGTTTTGCACACCTTGATCAAAATTGTTCAATATGTCCCTTAAGGCAGTATGGGATGTGCAATAGCTTCATGGTGTTCTTCCCCTTTTCTCTTATTTATGATGTGTTTTTTTTATCTTGTGCAATATACAGTATGTTTTTGTGCTTTACATGTGCTTCTCTGATAACATTTGGAATGTGTTTATTGATTGGGTATTTGTAGAGGCAGCTAAAGGTGTGCAGCACTGGAGTCCATTTCCCCATGGAGACAATGAATGATAAATGTTAAATGGATGGATGTATCATATCCAGATCCAAAAGCAGATGGAGACATGTGACATGACCAGCTTGGACCATCGTGTTTTATGTTTAAAGAGAAACTTCAGAGGTAACTAAAGAACACGAATTACTCATTAAATATTTGTAGACAATTTTCCGTTTTAATATTTCATATATTTTTTGCATTTGTCTCACCATAGTGGTCGTTTCGCATCTCCGAGTACCAATGTCGTCCACAATTCACCATTTTGCAAACCTCCTCGCTATGTTTTCTAATTTTCAATGACTCGTTTCTTTTTATTTCACTGAGAATGACTTGGAAATCTTTTTAATTTTGATATAACAATCTGGTAGCTGAATGATGAAACTACATTTATTCAACAATAATGTGACACTGAAAGAGACAGATCCAGGGTTGAGGTCCCCAATGATGAATTTAGTTTGATGGATCAAACTAAATAAACAAGTTTCAAAGTCTCTCCTTTTCGATTGTTGATGTCAGAAACGGCAAAAAGCCCAAACGTATAAAGAATTCTAAATATACTTGACTGTCTGATGTAGTTATTGGGATACAATGTGGCATGCACATTATAATCATATTTGATCGGCAATCATCTGGATAAAGCAGCAGAAAAATGTACTTCTTGACAAGTGAAACAATAACACTATCCTGTTATTATGTCACAAACACTGAATCATTTCCTTATTCTCAGTATCCGCTGGTCTGCTGTAAAGCTGTCAGGAGTGAGATGCTGCTGCACACAGTAAAGAGATCAGGTGAGTTAAAAGGTACTAAAAAAGCAATATGGCTGCATTATTAATGGCATATGGTGTAAGAAGAACACAGCCTAGGATCATAACTGAGGCTGTACAGATTTCCTCTTCCTCACTGGAAACTCAGGCCTCTGTGTGGAGGGTGATAGGAGATCAATACCCCAAGTTGAAATTCAAAGTGGGAGACACAGGGTTACATTTGATCTCTCTCTCTCTCTCTCTCTCTCTCTCTCTCTCTCTCTGCTTCAGCTAAAAGTCATCCCAGACTGCAGGCGATCTGGGAGCTCGCACAGTGGCCACAGGGTGCTGGGCAGGCGGCAGGTTAGGCAGCCCCACATTAGCACAATGGGTACAAATACGCGTTCATGAGCGCGCGCGTGCACAGGCATGTACCTGGATCACCCCGTCTCTCCCTCTCCCAGGGGTGAGGAATTCCCTAGCTGTGTCCGATAATTGACCGCAGCTCGGTGCTTGGGCTGGGGAATGTGTCATCGCCCGACTACATGGTCTGCTGTCGCATTACCAAGTGTGTATTTCTGTAACGCGGGGGGGGGAGGGAGGGGGAGGATGATAATTCGGGGGGGGGGAGAGAGTGAGAGCTAGAGAGGGAGGGGTGGTGGGTTTCCAAATCTCACCATTTCACACACCCCGATTGCCTTTCACCCCGTTTCATTTTACAACATGGGAGCTCTTCGCCCTCCCGTGGCACCGAAAGGTCGAAATGCAACATTGGGCGGCTGCACGGGATGGAGGCAGAATGACGACAAAACGTAAGCAGGGCGTTCAGATGTGGGATTAAAACAAACAGGATGCCACACTGCACAGGCCTGCATGATACATGAAAGCCCCCCCCTGCATCATAGGCTTCATGGCACACTCACACATACAAAAACACACAAACACACAGAGCCCGGAATCCGCGTCCTTTAAGCCAGGCGGTCCATTACATAACAGGGCTGACATTTCATACAGAGATGATGAGGATGCCGGATGATTTAAAAAAAAAAGAAAAAAAAAGAAAAACATGTCCCCCTTACTTTCCCAGCTCCTCGAACAGCTGATATTCGTCGGTAAATCTCGTGCAGATCGTTAACGCCATCCTGAAGGAGGTGCCAAGGGGGTGTGCGGAGACGCAGATGAAGGGTGCACTCACAAACAGTATCCACCGCACAGAGTCGTCAACGCCGCCCGGTTTTGTCCTGGACCTGCAAACCAAACGGGAGGATTCATGCACAGCTGAAGCGCATCGGCGGGGATGATATCTGCGGCAAAAATGCAAACTGCCTTGCGAGAGCGCTTCAGTCTGGACAGAGGGGGGGGGGGAGCTTCCGGTGTTGCCGTTTGCTGTCTCTCTGTTTTTTTTTTTTTTCTCACACGAAGCGGCTTGTCACAGCTCGTGGACGCATCATTTTGTGTGCATTCCGGTTGCTGTGGTGCTTGTCCGTCCGGTCCTGTGAGTGTCGTCTCTACTGCGCGCAACAGACGCCGCACTACCGCACCTACCCCTGGCTGTGCGCTAAGCCCCGCCCCTTTGGCCGCATTCTCACACGCGCCAGCTACAAACACATGTTGTTGATATCCACAAGTTTATTTGTCAAATAATTTAATAATAATAATGTTGATGTACCCTTAGCTGAAAGCTTGTGGAAAATAAAAGAACCAAACTGTTTACCTAATGAAATGTAAACCTGGCACATAGAGGCGGAAAAACATCATTCATTTAATTATTGCTCATTGAAGACTGAAGCACATCACAGTGACACAAAATGCTTCCTCAAAATGTAGTTATTGTTAGTATGAAGATAATGCATTGATAGTTGTAAGAAACAATAAGCTGGCTGATGACACCGCATTACCATGGGCGTTATAGTGGGGGGGGGGGAGTGGAACCGACAGCCCGGGGACCCAATGAAGATAGGGGCCCTTATTTTGGGATTCAAATAAATAAACCTTTTTTTATTTTATTGTTTCTCTCTAAGCCATTATTGACAGTAAAATTGATTGATGGAATAAATGACTGGTTCTTAACTCTTACTGTAATAAAGATCACTACCGCACCTCCTTTAGTCCACTTTCTGGTTTTTCACTCTTCCTCTCCCCCTTGATTGGTTGTTGTTTTTACTCGGTCACTAGTTAATTACATTGAATTCTCCTGCCTACTCCTTATTTAAGACTGCACTCCCTTGCACTCATGTTTCATCCTCACATGGGGCGACAGTTCAGCAATGGTAAGGTGGCGTTTACGCCTATTTTAGTTACTACCTAGTGCATTTTAATGTATCTTTAGTCTTTATCTATCTTTATTTCCTTCAGAAAGTAATCTAATTTGACTTGTTTATTGTCAGCATGGATGTTCAATCCCATGTGGGTCTTCTGTTATCCTCATGATTTACCTAATTTGATGAAATAAACCTGTTGCCTAAACTCAAGTCAAGACCCAATATCTCAACTTTGAACACTTCTTAACACTTACAATCAATCGTGAAAACCTTATGGATGCTAGAAAATCATTCAACTGCTAACAACATGCACGTTTTACAGATTTGAAGTCATTGTTATTGTTTACTTTATACAATGCAAATAGTTTTTTAAGTCACAGCTATCTAATCAAGGAAGTAATCAACCATTGTTTGTATAGCGCCAATTCATAACAAGAGCAGGCCGTGCATGGATGAGGGAGGCGGTGGTTGTGGGGACGTCACAATCCAAAGGTGGTGGCTGGGCGTCAGGGAGTAGTAGTCACGACACCAGAATTAAAAATTTCAATATAATACTTGTAAAAATCTAATTATATCAATACATATTTTAAAAAACACAACTAAAATCTTATAAAGTATAAAGTCCTAGACACTTGGCAATTCATTTCTTGTTTTCAATTATCAGAGATTGCAAGTAAACTCCTGCACACTGTCTGCATATACACTGGCAACATGTTAGGTATGGAAATGTTGCCAAATATTTTTTGCAATTTCAACAGTATGCAGGAGTTTGTTTACAACTTTTGATGGCCTCTTTTTTTGTCTTATACAAACCTTTGTTAGTAATCAGATTTTTTTTTTTAACGCTTTAGTATGAATCAGAAAAATAAATGATTGCATCCTTTTTAAATAAATTGTATCAGAAAAATTCTGATCAGCTTTTAATTGGTTATTTTATATTTGTGTGATGGAGGTGTGGTAATGGGAATATCAAAGTGTTGGCTGAGGCTTCAGAGGGGCCCAATTTGGTATATTTAAATGGGGCCCAGAAACTCTGGCAAATACCCCTGATAACTTATTACCATCAATGAGGAGGCTTATTACAGAGCTGAGAGAGAGCTGGGTCTTTAGCTTTCTCTTTAGGCCCTGACACACCAAGGAGACCGTCGTCGCCCTCGTTTTTGCGGTGTGTCCGGCTACCCGTCGGCCCCCATATGCCTTTTTTTTGGCCAATTCCACATGTTGAATCATCGTTGGCGGTCGGTCAGAGGAATCTCTCTGATTGGCTGTTCAGAAGTTTCATTTATCCCCAACTCTTGGCACAGGTTTCAGGAAAGCTCCTTAAGCACGCAGCTGTAGTATCCATGCTTTCACCCATTAGTGCAGTTTCTCCTTATTTGTCTCCTCCACCTCTTCTTTTTCCACTAAAAGACCAAGGGCTGACAACGCCAGCGCCATTTTCAACTTTTCATCAAACCTTGCATCTCGATTAGTAGGCTACCTATAACACGAGTGGCGGGCGACAGGGATGTGAAAATGGTCTTCTCGTAACATAACAATGGACTACCGTCGCCTGCTGGCAAGGAGAGTTATTTCCGCTCACGCACGCGCAGAATGTACGTGGTGGTTGGTCGTCGGCTGTAGTCTTTGCTGTGTGTTCTAGTGCAACTTTCTGGCCAAGACAAAGCCGACATGAGGCGAGTCACCACTGGCTCTTTGCCATCTGCTTGGTGTGTCAGGGCCTTTAAAGGTGCAAAGGGACTCTGCCGATCAAATGGAGTTTGGTAGTTTGTTCCACCACCGGGAGGCGACAGAGGAGAAGAGTCTAACTAGAGACATGTGACCCTGTTGTGAAGGTTGGGTCAGACAGCTTTCATTGGCAGAGCGTAGTGGGTTGGATGAAAAGTAGACCTGGATGAACGAGTTTAGGGTGAGGAGGTGCTGGGTTTGGTTTTGGGAGAGAAGCTGCTTGTCAACAGGCGAGGCAAAGGCCTGGGGCCCCAATGGACTCTTGAATCTGGTTTCTGGACATTGGGGATAAAAACCAACTCCTTGGAATCTAAATTTCTCAGGAAGTTGAATGATCCCTAAACTCCTGGCAAAAAGATTCTCTTTGTCAGGAACTCAAACCATTCAGATTATCTTCCCAGCTGCTGTCTGATTTGTACTGAATCATGATGCACAACATTGTCACTGTCATGGTCTGCCAGTTCCATGACAGTGATAAAAGGACTTGGCCCAGGTTATAAAAACTGCACAGAGAATTGTGAGAACTGTGTTCATGGGAAATGAATGCTGTGTTCATACTACAGTGTTCACCCTACCATTTATATTAGGGGAGCGGCCCACGCCCTTAGCCTCGTGTTAGTCTGATTTTATACTGACAGACCAAGTGACATTTGTGAAACACTATGGGTTTATTGGTGAAATTAAAAGATAAAGCTGTTTAAACGATGCCTGAGCAAAGTCATCTGCACAATCTTCACTACTGAAGTTTATGTTTACAACTGATAACAAACTCAGGGTTTGGCTTTTTGGCCACAGTGTGTGTCATCATGCAGTGTGGGTGGTCTCGAGTGTTGACTCGGCTCCATCAGGAAGTAGAGCACAGAAGATCCAGGAAACACTTCAAACACTTAAGTACTAAAAGATAAGAGCTTTGCCAGGACCCTGTATGAATAGTTTGAGAATTTAACTTCTTCAATTCTTAACATTTCAATACAAGTTATTTAAAGGGATACGTCACCCATTTGCAATAAGCTTTGTATCATTATAAACCTGCTTTATGGAGAAATTGAATTATATAGCAACGAGCAGTTGAGGCTGATGCGGTGCTGTGCATTCTGGGAGTTGTTGTCTTTCATCCACATGAGCCAATAACACACTTTCCAGCCTTTTCTCGGTCAAGAAGGCATCATTTTGCTTGGTGTGATGGTTTGGTAACCTGCCCCTTAAAAACAAGAACTGTCTGAATCAAACTGTGGAATGGTCCAGCACGCTGATCAGAGAGTCACAGCTAAACACAGAATCCCCGTACATTTTAAAAACCGGTACAGAGGATATCCGGCTCCATTTAAAAAAAATTAAAATAAAAACGACTCCCACTCTTTAAAAACTCCAAAACAAAGCGATACCATTACAGCTTTGTCCCAGCAGCCATCAGTGAGATGAACAAGATATAATGCAGAAGCAATCTCCTTTTGGAGCATTTTTTAGTTTATTTATTGATCTCTGCACTTTTTATCGCCTTGTCTTTTCTTTATCTTGTTTTTACTGATGGCTCATTTCTACCTTGCTTTTACTCACCAAGTTTTATTGATTGGTCGTGAAATCTTATTCTTATCTTGCTTTCACGTTACTTGACTGAGGGTATAGTCTCATTTTTATTTGTCTTATTCTAGCGATGGGTTACTTTGTCTTGTTTTTTACTGACAGGCTTTTCTCTTTCACTATTAAGCACTGTTGTCACTTCATCATGTTTTGTCCTGTGCTGTCGTTTTGTGTAAAAAGAGGCCGACTCACTCACTGCAAACCAAATCTACCTACGGCTACCAATAAAGTTACCTTACCTTATCTCAACGTCAAAATCTGTTTCACATTTCTACTACGTATTTGACCTAATTTCAATACAGATTCATGTTTCAAGTGGTGAAGTATGCCTTTAAGTTAAGCCTTCAACAACAGGTTTCTTTCACTTCTTCATGCTTGCAATATTTTCACCGTCCATTCCTCCCGTCATCCTTCCATTCATTTTCTTCCTCTCAGATCAGGTCGCTGTGGTATTCTTATGTTATAAGTTAGGATGAAAGCTGTATATTGAATGTTCTTCATGTTAATGAGTGTTATTTGGTTTTAAGTTGTAAGATGACATTGTCACACTGTAATGGTTGTTGTGGACCCCAGGAAGAATGGCTGCAGCAATCCTGGTCTAATAAATTAATTTAAACGACGCGCAGTAAGTCAACCCAGACGTCCTTCTCCCCAGCAACATTTCCCAGCGTCTCCTTTGGGTATTCCAAGGCATTCCCAGGCCAGACAGGATATATATACAAATCCTCCAGCAAAACTCTTGGTCTACCTTAGACTCTTCCGCATTTTAGATCAAAGAAACAGAGGAAGCCCAGCTTTGATTTAACTTATTTATTCACATCAAGTTGAAAGCAAACAAGTGAAACCAATACACCAGCATATCATAAATATATCAATAAATATTAATTTACACACATTAAAGACAAGAGAGCAGTAGCTCACCAGTGACATTCAAACAAACATATGCTTCTTCATAAATATTTCTCATTTTTCAACAGTCAATCAGGACGTTAAGCAGCCTTTCGGTATAAAATAAGATGATGAAATCCTCGGCTCCAATAAATAAAATAAATACTTTTTGGTATGTTTTCGTTTGTTCAGGAACTAGTAAAGAGTCATGAACAGTGCTCAGCGTTTTCGACTGCGGAGAAAAAAGAAACAGAAAAAGAATAATTAGTTGATGAACAGTTTTGGTGAAAATATCCAGATAATTTAATTAAATATCCCGTAAACTATCGTATGCTGTATGACTTTGACATACCTGGACATCATTATGTTAATCACTCTTTTCACCCAGGGAGCGTTAGGGTCCAGGCAAACCTGCTGGCCTGTTTTTTTCAGAGTGGCACTGCAAACACCAAAGAAAAACCAGATTCAGTTAGCACAAGCATTCAGTAAGCAAAAAAAAAACTCGACAAGAGACGATATCACAATCTGGATGGGATGCAGACTTTGGAAATAAGGGTCTTACATGATCTCTGTCTCCTCGCAGTGGGAGTTGGCAGGAATCAGCTCCACCTTCTCAATGTGGCGGCCGATGGGTTTGCTCTCGGTCATGATGCAGCGGCAGTGCAGCTCCATTCCAAGGCTTCTCAGACTCATTCCTGATTGGGCGACGGGAGACACATGTGGTTACAAAGTGCAACAGTGTGTACAGATAACTCTTAAAGCATTGAGGAAACAAAGACTTGAGAATGTGCACAGCAGTGAGAGTCCAAATGCAAAATTAAAAAAACACAAAACTTTAGATTCAACTCTAGAAAAATCAAAAACCTTACCTTCACTGATGGTCAAAAGTGCCAGGAGCACCACAATGGAGGTGAAGACGACTTTGTTGCTAATCATTTTTGCCTTTTACAACGTGTGCAACACTTCAAACTGAAGGATAATAAAGCTCTCTGATGAAGCCTGTTGTAAAGTAGAGTAGAAGTTTGTTTTTTTTCTGCTTTCTTTTCCTTTTTGGCTCACTTCACTCTGTCCTCAGTGTTTCCTCTTCTTGCTTCAGCTGCCTTCTCGCTCTGCTGTTTGAATCTAGCGCTAGAAGGGAAAGAGTCTCTCCTTTATAGCCCGCTCCTGGAAGTGACTCATTCCCCGCGCTGAGGCATGTTGCGCAAACTCGGAGTGTTATCGGGAATTTACACAGTGTTGATTTTCTTTAACTGACAGACACGGGAGCTCACAGGTCTGTCACGTGTGTCGCTCATGGACTTATCATTTGGAAAATCACAGAAAAAATTTGTAACAGCAACTTGTTAATATTGGAGGAATGCTTAAGAGTAAGGCTTTCTAGTGTCCCATATAACGCAAACCATTACTCACAGAAGTTCACAGGCTCTTGAGGAATAGGCATCCAATAAAATGAACAATTGAACGCCATATCTGATTGAGGGGCCAATAAATGTGATACACTTAGATTAGTCATCTCAGATGTCCTCTTGCGGAAGCTGTATCATCGAAGAGTTCATTTATGAACTTGGTATTTGGACAGCTGGACAGCAATTGGGCAGCTACTAAAAAAATGTAAACACTTCCCTGCATGCCAAATTTTCTTGTTTATTGCTGGTAATGGAAAATATGCAGCCAGCTGAAGTTAATAAAAGTGTCCTCTGACGTCCAGTCAGTCTGTCTCATTCCCTCTGTCCAGCCTCTGTCAAGCTCATTACATTGAAAGAGACACACACACCAAAACGGAGCGTTCTGAGAGAGCTGGTTTATACATGGTCACAAACCTCCTCTGGTGCTTGATTCATGTTACATTTTCACCACAGCACAGATGATTCATTTACACCACAGGGGACTGTTTGAAAAGCTGGAAAAAGTTTATAATACGTCGTCTTTAAATTGTTTTAACAAAAATATTTGAGGTATTTTGCCTTTGTATTTATTTGAAAGGTGATCACTATAGATGTGTTTCACCTTGAGACATTTTGAATATTTGACCACACCTGCCATCAGAATTCCCAATCAGCTTATTAGTGTTGAGGTGTGTGTGTATGTGTATATATATGTGTATATATATATATGTGTGTGTGTCCCCCCTCCCCATTTGTTCCAAATGTATCACCTAAGACCTCTGGTCGATACGTTGTGATCTATAAAAACTTTTTGAGGCCTTTGAGCAAGTGTGTGGGCCTCTTTTCTTCCCACGTCAGCTGATTTTGCACTACTCTGCACCTATGTGGTGTGCGTTTAACTACTTCCTTTTTCTAAGTAATTCACAAATGCAGTTTAAAATAACATACAGTTATAATTAAACCTTTAACATGAGCAAAGGGAGACCTTGTTTTTATCAAATATTATGTATATATATGTCATCCCCCTCTCTTTTCCCCACATTTCCTGGTTAAAAAACTACTTTCATAACTCAGGCCATCAAGCTACTGCACTTGAATGAAGAAAAACAGAAACAGATTTTTCTTTATTTTATAACCCTACTCATGCATCATAGATTGGAGCCGAATGCTGCAAGGCAATATGACACTAATCAGAAAGTCCAGTTTATGTTGGCTCAGGGGCTCGTGTTTGACATTCCTTGGGAAACGGCAGAAAGTGTGCTAAAAACTGGTGAGACCTAATCCTGATGCAACTTCAACAAGCTCCAACACATCTGTCTTTCTGCAGTCATCACGTCACTTAAGTCTGTCTCACGAAGGAGAAGGAAGTATGGAGTAACTTTTGAGAAGGGGGGCTAAACTTGCGGTTTTGCTCCATTCTGATGTTGCTCTACTTAAAAAAACACAAGTCCTGATTGATAGCTTTTGAACATGACAGCTTTAATATGTGTGTTAAGAGTCTAAGTTTGTTTATTTCTGTATTAAGAAGGAAATTATTTGTCAAATCTCAGATGGAAGGTGGAAATTAAGACCAAATCAAAAGTAGAACTATGCATGTGCACGTGTGGTCACCTCTACTTTAAATGTACTGCATTGGAAAGCAGAAGTGGAAATGAATAATGTTGTGATACAGCCAGTGAGGCGCCGCACTGGAAAGTTTTTGAACTTCATGTTGTCATTGTTGTGGTCAATACCATTATTTTTGGTTGAGATAAGTGAAAATGGCATGACTGGCATCATGTGGCCAGCATTACAACAGATACAAATTACCTTTTTTTTTTAAATCTGAATCAAATTAGAATTCCCCTCATTTTCCCTGTTGTGCTCATAGGGAAGCATTAATATCAGATGACTTTGGAACACATGATTCCTAAAATGCATCTTTTGCATGTATTTTGCTTTCACACATGCACACAACTCCTTAAAAGGTCTGGAATTTTTTTAGGTCAAGCTGCGTGTGACAATACTTACAGCTAAATTTCGGCATTATAGCGTCAGACTCTGTCACTACCTCCTGAGTTACACAAGATGTCATAAGATAGACATCAAAAGTGACAAAGAATGGGGCACTGGTGGCGCAGTGGTTAGTGCACGCCCCATGTATGGAGGCTATAGTCCTCCAAGCGGGCGGCCCAGGTTCAAATCCAGCCTGTGGCTCCTTTCTCGCATGTCATTCCCCACTCTCTCTCTCCCTCTCTCCAATTTCCAACTCTATCAACTGTCCTATCTCTCCATTAAAGGCAGAAAAAAGCCCAAAAATGAATCTCTTAAAAAAAAAAAAAAAAAAAAAAAGTGACACAGAATGACAATTTCTGTCGTTGTATCATTGGTAAGTGTAATTTGACACATTCACAAACTCAACATAAGAGCAAATATGAATATACTGGACAGAATAGACTGAACATACATCCTGCAGCAGTTTCATTACGGACACAGATCGAACCAGTTGCGAGCGTACTGCCTAAAGGTCATGTGCCGAAGCAGGATATTAACAGACCACTTGTGCTGATTTCTTTTTCCTGAATATTTCCTGCTGCTTTCTCCCATCAGCAGCTCATCCTAACCTCACACAGGACATTTACTAAGGGGGGCGGGCAGGAAAACATTCTGGGTATGATCGCAATAATGATTGAATTTGGCTGTTTGTGTTCACACATGCAGTTTAGAGCCAGGAGTTTTTTTTTGCTGCGAGTGGGAAAGCCCCATGCCTGAAGTTTTCTAGACATTTTCAGGAGTGCATATGTGAAAACAGAGAAAAGTGTTCAGAATGTTTGCATTGGCATTTCTGCATATGTATCCCAAAGACAAATTATGAACACATTCCTCCAACCTTTTATTGGGCAGATTTACTTTCCAAGACACAAATTGGAGAACAAGCTTCATGGTAACAAAGAGGAAGTATAATGAACTCTAGTTTGACAGGATAGTAAAAAGAGATTTGGATATTACAGAACTTCCCTTTCTTGACCTCAGCTGAAAGTTTTATCATTGCAGCATAGAAAACCGCTGAATTTAGGAAAATGTTCAAGCTCAAATAAACTCAAGTTGCCCTGCATCAGGATAAGGTTTCTTGTTTATAGGGGACAGAATGGTATGATAACATCTTTGAGGGATTTCGGTAAAAAAAAAAAAAAAAAGAGCAGAAGTCTGCGGGTGGGTCAGTTTACAACTTTGGTGTCGACAGTAATAACTCAAATGGAAATTCATATTTCAGATATTATAGCCTCTCGACTTTGTTGATTCTCTAACTTTTAATTTTTCACTGGCTCACATTTCCACCTCTGTTTCTTCTTGCGGTCATGCTCCATTCAAGATAAATTGCTTTATTTTCCTGAGAAGGGTTTCAAGCTCAAATGTCTCCAGTGGCCCCCATTTGTTTTTGGGATGTGTTCTCAATTGTCCATGACAAACCAGCTGGGCAGACACTTGAAATGTTGAGGGGATAGATTGGAGATTGGACTGAAACTCCACATTCAAAACTCAGCCTTGTGTTGGTTTGTGGCAAACTATCTTTGAAGCTTGTATCAGGAGATTTTAACTGTTTTAAAATAAAATAAAAAGTCTAATACTCGGATTTAGACCTTTACCTGAACAGCAAAAGCAAATGAGACCATCAGCAACAAGACTAAACATTTCTTCATAGTTCTTTATAATGCCTGAAACTTCTTCTGCTGCATGGTAAGGTTTCAGATGAAGTAATAAAGAGCAACTTGAAGAAACGGAATTAGTTTTATAAATTCCACAGAGAGCTTGTTGATGAGTGAAACATTTGACTGTCTAAAGAAAGCCAGAGGAATGTCAGCACATACAGGGCAGAAGCAGCAAAGAGATCAGATGTACTGTTTTGTGCCAAACTCCACACACCAAAAGTTCATCACAGGGGCTCTAATGCAAAGTTTCATGTTTAAAAACTGTAATCTTTCAAAAGTAAAAAAGGGATACATTTACCAGTTTCAGTGGCCCAACTCGTGCTTTAAGTGCATTCAGTGGTTTTAGGGACAAGTGCAGAAAACTAGCACCTGACTTTGAGACTGTTGCACTAAAAGAAATGTCACTTGAATTATTTTTTTGACATACTTTTGTGCCAATTTAAAGTAGGGCAAAATTGTCGTTCTTGAAAGGACTGTATAGTTCACATTTAGTTATATTTATTTTGGCCTTTTTCACCTTTATTGGAAAGAACAGCAGAAGAGAGACAGGAAACGATGGGAGGAAAGAGTTGGGGAGGACACGCAGCAAAGGGCCGAGGTCGGATTCAAACCCACGGCCGCTGCAAACAAGGTCTACAGCCTCCAAACACAGGGCGCACAACGTCCTTAGGCTGTTGAAGTCTTCTTTTTTTTTTTTTTCTCCAAGTGTTGTGCCACATATTTCCTACTTTAGCTTTTGCAAAGCCTTGCATAGTGCATAACTGATATAAGGACATTACTGTTATCTTGATTGACTCATGTAATGTTTACAATAACTGCTGTATCATTATCAGAGTGTGGTTTAAAAGCTAAAATGTGATGGCTGCACACTGAAACCAAATACACAAAAGAAAACAGCTGTGAAGACATTGTAAACAGCAGCTGGGAAAATCTGGAATGAATCATGAACCGGTCATATCCAAGTCTTTTTTTCTTTCCCATTTAGCGGCAGCCGGAAAGGTGTGCTGGAGCAGCACTGTTAGAAGAAAACATGCTCTATTGTAATGACTAACAATAAGTTTCAGCTGGATTATAGTTTGACTGTTGTTGGTATTAAACATGAGGAAGTGAGAGTCAGAGACAGCCAGTCACTCTGGATTACAAGAAATGTCACGGGCTTTTTTGGATTGACAAACAGCTTGGAGAGGGGATTGAAGAGTCACAGCTATAAGCCCCTCATGTACAAAAAAAAAACTCTGAGTTGGGGTTACGTATGTGACGGTGGGTGTTCCTGCAGGGGCTTTACATTCCACATTTGTGTAACTGGAACAGCACTCACTGCTCTGACGTTGAGCATCATGTCAGAACAAGATCACCATGTTGTCATTCTTTTCACCTAACATGAATTTTACACATTATGGGCCTTCAGTAAATGCCAGGCTTTAAATCTTCTTTTTTGCATGTTCAGATGCACATACTCAGAACATACTTTCATTGGAACTTGTGCTTGTTGAAAGTACTATACCCCTAATTTACATTACATTACATTTCCAGCATTTAATTATGAACCACCCAGACCGCTCAGGTCGTCCGGGACAGGTCTGCTCTCTGTCCCCAGAGTCAGAACCAAACACAGAGAAGCAGTGTTCAGCTTCTATGCTCCTCATATCTGTAACAAACTCCCAGAAAACTGCAGGTCAGCTGAAACTCTCAGCTCTTGTAAATCGAGGTTGAAGACTCACCAGTTTACAGTTTTCATTTGTTATTTTAATTTTATCTTTTCAATTATTTAAATTAGGGGCTGCATGGTGGTGCAGTGGTTAGCGCTGTTGCCACACAGCGAGGAGGTTCCTGGTTGAAAGCCCTCTCAAACAGGGCCTCTCTGTACAGAGTTTACATGTTCTCCCCCGTGCATGTGTGGGTTCTCTCCGGGTACTCCGCCTATCTCCCACAGTCCAAAGACATGCTCACTAGGTTAATTGTTGACTCTAAATTGTCCATAGGTGTGAATGCAAGTGTGGCCGGTTGTCTGTCACACTCCAGGGAGTAACCACGCCCCTCACCCAACGACATCTGGGATTGGCTCCAGCCCCCCCGTGACCCCAAACAGGAAAAAGTGTTTGCTAATGTTTATTTTTTCCCTCTGTCATGATGCGTTTGATGTCTTGTGTGAAGCACTTTGAATTGCCTAGCCCTGCATGTTTGTATTGTCACTATGATTATTTGCACTCCACTGACTTGTTTGAGGGAGAACAGAGGCTACATGTCTTGATGATGTTGCAAGGTTTTTAAGGGTTTGTTGGAAATAAAGACGGCTGAATTTCAGAATGCTGAAATAAAACAAATAAGAGACGGATCAGATTACTACTCTGTTGGCCAACTAGTCATATTTATCTTCCAGGCATCTGAACACTAACTCACCAACAATGCAACATTGTAGGGGCAATTTTCATGGGGAAACTAGCTATTGCATGAGATACAAATCTGCTTATAGATTTGACAACTTCAACTTCAGTATGGCTTTCCCAAGGAGCATTTTTTTGGGTACTGCAGATTCGTCCCTTTATTAGGGAGTCTCCCCTCCCTCGGTACTCACAAAATGAAGAGCCCTAGAATCCTTTCTTATTAACTGCAAGAACTCCTCCCATTTTAGCATGAAGAAATTAGGAATTTCATGTTTAATTTGATTTGCCTCGTCTGGTTTCACTTATTATTATTATTATTATTATTATTATTAGTTTAATATTATACTATTATATTAGTCGTAATATTATTGTCTGTTTTGGTTTGTTTTTTTGTAGTGGTTGATTTTGGTCCTTTGGTGTCATTGTACATGTCTTCTAAATGTTATACTGTTTGAAATTTTCAATAAAATTGTTATTGAAAAGAAAATAGAAGCTCTGCTCAGTCTTTGGAACTCAACCAGTTCTTTGGCACAGAAATCAACAATTCTAGCAGGGACCACATTCAACATGATATGTCATGCTTGATTGCTTTGCAAATCACAGAAAATCAAATGTGAAAATGATGCAACAGGAAGAAAAAAACCTCTTGCCACTGTAACTGATTCCCATGAATCCAGACAGCCTCAGTTAAGTGGGAATAATGGAGCTGTTTTGATTTCAGTCCAGAAACCCAGACTCCACCTCTTCTCGTAACAAATGGAATAATAAAAACACTCATGCTTAAAAAGGGGTTTGTGAGGCAGACCTGCATCACAGTTTAGAGCTGCAGGGAGAAGAGTTGAGCTGGATATCTGCAGTTTGCTGAACGACACTCCTCCTAAGAATTTCATTGTTTCTCTGATAAAGCCTCAGAGTAGATATGTCTGTCATCAGTATCGTTGCCCTCCTCGTTTTCCTGGCTGTCCCTCAAGGTGAGTTTTTGTGCAAATCTTTATTTTTTCACACTTGCTATGCCTTGCAATACTTGCAAGTGCATGTTTGTGATATGCATTTAGCATGAGCTGTATGCTTCACCTTGTTTCTGATCCATTGACGGCCTTCTCTAACCTCTCACAACCTCAGCAATCAGCATCAGTGAACTGATCCCACGATGTCAGTGCATCATCAACGAGAAGAGGCCCATTGGACGGCATGTAGGACAGGTGCAGGTGATCCAGCCCAACTCCCACTGCCCAAACATGGAGATCATGTAAGCCCTTGGACAAAGACATATATAGTTTCTCTGCTAATTGGACACAAAGGCCTGAAAATGTGTTTTAGTTGATCACCAGACCTTGCACAACACTGCTGTATATGAACTCTTGTGCCTTCCTTTGATTCTTCAGTGCCACCTTAAAAACGGATGGGAAAATGATTTGTCTGGACCCTAACGTTCCCTGGGTTAAAAGAACTCTTCAGAGTCAACGGGCGCAGTAAGTGTATCCTCACTATATTTCAATGATACACTTTACACACTTTATTGTTATATAACAGTTGAAGTAAAAGTGATTCAGGAGATGAACAATAAAAGATAAGAATGTTTTGGCGAGCAGGAAGCTGGATGACTGTTTGTAAGTCACTGGCTATATGAGCCGGGGGAGGGGGGGGCCGGGCTATGATTTCCATATTTAGGCTGTGTTTAACTAAAGGGAGATCAGCTACCTTAAAACATGTAATTTTTTTGTTTTCTGTAGGCAGACTCTTTGAAATGCAAACCACTGCTTTGACTGACAGAGTGAGAAAAAGCTTTCGAGACCCCATTTCATCCCCACTGAGGTTCAAACTGGAACTGCACTTACGGAGCACAAAGAGCTCCTTTTCGCTCAATGAGGATCGTTTGACAGCTGGTGTGAGAGTCAAGAGGTTGTGCACAAATTATCTACACAAACTTTCCAATGACCTGAGAGGCTGCTAGAATGGATGGCAGGTTAATACAAACCTATAGTCTGAACAATATGTTACATATAACATGTTACTGTCAACGTTATTTTCTGTAAGCATTTACCGTGCATGTAGCAAAATGAATGTTTGAAGATTTGTTACAAAAAGTGTATTAAATGTCCCAAAAAAATACTCTAATCCATGTGTCTGACTACAGGTTATTGATACTAACAGCATCTGTTTGAGTCCTTGTCTTAAGAGATGTTCATAAAACAACTTGAATCTCTCCATGAAGACTACTCTGTTCCTGATGTCCTCTTCTCTATCCTCTGTGAAGTTTGTCGATGGCTCTTTCTGTGGTTTGTCTGAAGAGAAACTCTCCAAACTGATTTTCTTGGGTTGTTTCATGAAGGAGGGCATACCAGCAGCGTCACACTGAGTTTTCAGTGGAATAACATCGCCACCTCTTGGACAAATGTGCACAATGTCAGGACTAAGAACAGCCCCTCCTGGCAGTACACACTGCGTCTAGTTGTAGTCCATTATTATCCCAAAGTTAAATGCACTTTTATTGTGTCATTTCTAAAAAGACACCATCTGATCAATCACTTAAGTGCTCAGAACAACTGTACAGTCAGTCTGGTTATGTTTTGTGTTGTTTATCCTGAAGAAACTCAAATAAATAAATGTAACCATTGCTATTCAAGCCATACTACTGAAACTAGGCTCTAAGCTAGATTTGAATCTCACGCTTACTCTTAGCAGGTTCATCTAACTAGGTGCATAAATATGGAAAGACAAAGAAAAGGGAACTCCTCAAGAATCAGGATTCAAACTTTTTTTTTTTTTTTTTCAGTTCATGTTTCAGTTTATTTAGCATATGTAAGTCGTAGTTTGTAAACCGCATGTGCATGACTTTCCTGAGCAGTAAACACAGTCTCTGTAAAGAACAGATATACAAAGAGAATGTTACTAAGAGTATGTCTAATAATCTATTTGGAGTTGGATAAATGAGGGATGAGGTGTACTTTTAGAAATAACTCTGTGTTGAGTAAAAAAGACGTTGGAAAGTCAGGAGTCAAAGCACCTGGGGAAGAACAGTATGTCTCAACATTCCCCATTTCTTTATATGGTCTTTCTTGCCTGCATGGCATTAATGCTGTAGCCACTCCCACCTGTCCTCCAGTCACCCCCGTTTTCCCACCATTTACCCGATACTCGCAGCCACCAGCACACCTCAACCCCCTTAATCATCTAAGCTTTATTTAATTCCGGCTCATCCATGCAATGCAATCCAGACAATACTCAATATGTTGAGTCACGACCGACTCTTGATGTTGAAGTGCTTAAAATATTAACCAATCAACATTTTAAGTACTTCAAAAGCCAGACAGAAGAAAACGTCAAAAACAAATCAGACATCTGGGGCAAAATGTAAAGTAAAAAAAACTTTGTTTAAAAGTGGTGTCAGTCCTACAGTAAAACTATTATTAGAGATGCAACGATCCACTTCTTTTCAGTTCCGCTCCAATTCTGATACACATGTACTGATACTGATTCCAAAATATTGTCATCATAACTAACAGTGTCATTGTTGTTGTTGGTGTTATGTGTAAGGCTTCACAAAGCCGTGGTTAAACCTGGCATTGCATTGTGCTGGCTTCACATACAAACAGGAAGCAGCAACAACTGTCAGGTTTTTAAATTCAATCTTTTAAGCTGAAGTGCAATAATTGAAGTTTTATAGAAGGAGCTGTTCCATCGATTCTGAACGTCGTCATGGAGACGGTTTGATGACACTTTTTACAGTCAATTCTGAATGTCTTCAAAGTGAGACTGTGTGAACTGAGAATGTTGAAAGTGCCCAACCATCTTTTCTGATCAGTGATGTGGATCGGCTGCGTCAGTCCGATATCTGATTCTTAACCTATGTCGATATCCGACCGGATACCGATATTAGATTGGATCTGTCCCATCTCTAACCATTATTATGCAAAGACCACAATAATTGTTTCCATAATAAGCAGTTTCTCATAGATGGACATTGAACAAGACGTGCATTTATTTATTTTTTAAAGAAATCATTAATTTTCTTAAGGTTAATTCATTACAGCATGAAAAAACAGCAACATACTACGCTGCTTATACAACCCCTTTTTTGTGATCATACAGAAAATTGTTTGAATTAATTTAATCCAGTTTGGTTCCAATCGTTACCTGTGGTCATGGGTAGAGAGTACAGATGTTCATCAGGCCTCAATGTGGAGGCGAACCTCCAACACTGAAGAGGAAAAGAAGAAATGGTAAATTGACATTATCTTGTAGTCCTCTTACTACTCAAAGCACTTTTATGCCGCAGGTCACGCCAACACATTCACACACTGATGGCAGAGATTGCTATGTAAAGTGACCATCAGCGTTAACTAATTCCATTCACACACACTCATACGCCGCCAACGAAGCAGTGGGAGCAACTTGGGATTGAGAGACGACTGACTCTACCATGTGAGCCACAGCCGCCCTTGAAAACATACCATTTATCTAATTGTCAATGGTTACAGTGGAATTTAAAAACATGTTACTTTTGCACATCGACTAAGTTGAATTCCTTTTTTTCCATGCATGTGTCACCAGGGATTTCTAATGATTTATAGCATGTACACCATCCCACATCATTCATGAGAAAGACCCCATATGTGTTCTTGCTATAACATTAAAAAATTTGATTATTACTTACGAGAATAAAGTCGTAAATTTACGAAATATTAAATTATTATTATTTTTTTAATTTATTTTTTTTACGTGGCCCTAATCCTCCGTCGTACACTTGTATCGTAAAATGGGTTTTTCATAAAATACACACCTTCTCAAAGACTGAAAGTGAAAGTCTGCAGGCGTATTTCTTGTGCAGGTCCAGGAGCTGACGGAGTCGGGACACCAGGGACTTGAGATTCTCCACCTCTTTGGAATCATAATTATCTTCCTTAAAAAGAACAAAATTAAAACGTGGGTAGGGTATAGGGCTGCTCAAGTAAGTGCAGTTACATCGTTCTCCCAATGAAAGGATTTGCAACAATCACATCGCTATAGTCAGAATTTATCACAAGAAAATGTTATTTATGCATACAAGCAATGCTTTCTCACTCAGCATGTGTACATTTGACTGTGATTGGTTCAAATCAGCCTGTAGACAGTGTGGTTATATGTCAGTTACATGCAAAGGCTGCACATTTAATTGTACTATCATCCAGAGCTCTGCCGATAAATCAGCCAGCCAATCTGTGAATATTAGCATATCCAGTGATCTGCTCAGAACAGGCTGTTTCTGTGTCTGTAGCTTTAAATTTAAATGAGCTGTGTCTGACCCCGCCCCTCTCTGAAAGAGGATGTGGCTCTTTTTGTGGACTTTCTCACTCCATGCCCAATTTTTTACACCAAGCTGCAGTAACCCCTGTGGAGCAGGCAAAAGAAGAGGATTTACTTTTAACTGGGGGTTTGTAGACAGACTAAGGACACATTAGAGAAAGAAAATGGTAAAATGTATTTTGCATAATATTTGACCTTTAAGTTATAGACACAGACCCTAACCATTTTGGTGCCCTAGGCAAGACTTCAGCGGTTGGCCCTTATATTATACTGTCAAAGTCTGTCAAAAGTCCTTATAAATCACTATAATGAGTCTATTTTTCTGACTTTGATGTCTTTTAAAAAAAAATCTTCCATAAGTAGACAATGATTCTGATATGGTTGGACTTAGTACTTCTTAGACTACATGCACAGGTACTATGAAGTACTTTTACTGTGTACTTTTTGAGAAATCCACTGTCTTTATAAATCACTATAATGAGTCTTTTTTTCTGACTTTGATGTTGAGGAGCTGTGCAGTGGTGCAGATATGTGCATGATTTGCAATCTAAAACAGAGTGCAATGTAAACTAGTCTAGAAAATAGTCCAGTGAGCGTTAATGTATCGCATCAAATCAGTTTCAGCCTTATTCACATTACTGTCATGTATTGAGCTGAACTGTACTTTTGGCACAAACCGGCAGCACTTCTATACAGAGGTGTTCCTAAAAAAAAATTGGTCTCACAGGCTCAATGTGCGACATCTTACACACACTGTAAATATAGCAGAAATCCAGTATATCCTCTGTAAATATCTCTGTGAGTCATGACTGTCTACAATGAGTGTGACACCCGAGTCCCACTGTCTGTGATGTCGTCTGAGCCGTATCTACAGCGTGTTTACATGGACGGGACGGGACGGGACGGCCGGCTCATCCCCTTGCTTATAAAAGTTGTTTGTAAGTGAGGGACTATAGAAAAGAAGAATAACATACTATACTCACTGCTTATTTGAATGTCACATAAGCGTTTTTAGATCATCAAACACAACAACGCAGCTCGAGTTGTTTTGGTTTCATGCTGGTGCTCAAGGGCGACACATCTACTGGATCAAAAAGTCGCATATTCTTCCTTTAATGTATCATAAACATAAGCAATGTCATAAAAAAAATCCTACCTTTTAGAATACACATGCTCAAAAGAGTCAAACACATTAAATTCTGCTATTCTAAAATAATTTATTTTCGAATAGTTAAGGACGAGACCTCTCGTTCAGTATTCATGAAGGATTTGGAGGGCCAAGGTCTTTGTTAGTTATAGATGGCTGGATCCTTTATTGTCACTGCAGATCACAACACAATGAAATTCAGTCCAGCCTCAACCCCTTGATACTTTAACAAAATGTTTTTAAATAATTCAAAGATATAGAAAGTAAGCAAGTTTGTGGCACATATGGAAAAAAAGAATGCTTGAAATTACAAGGATTTTTACAAAATCAAGAAAAAGAAGCTGTCATGTGTTACCAGAGATTGTACTCTTTTAAAAAAAAACAACCTCTTCTTCATCATTCCCCCCACAAATTAAAAAATAAATGCATATGCTCAATAATGATATTAAGTCTTCTCGTGGGAGATAGGAGCTCAGTTGTTGAGTAGATAATAATACATTATACAAACATGCTGCAAACTTTTGCAAAGAGTAATGTAGTGGACACAAATTCCCACATACAAACCTCAATAGAAGATGTGTATAGATTGCCCTGCCTATAGAAATGCTTCTCTATTCCACAAGATTCTCTATTCCTGACAAGTTCATAAAGTTTGCACATTTTATTTTACAGAAACAGTGTGACA